GAAACGTCGTTGCTCAGTTTTTTCGCTAATCTTTATCGTTAACTGTATTTCCAAATTTAATCTTATAAAGGACACTTGCGTAAAAAAAAAATCCTTACAGATACACGTGGCTTTTTTCAGACTTCCACTCTAGTCAGGTAATGAATTACTTGTGTCGAAAACGCAAGAAAAAAAGTGAGGGTTAATGACGTCGTTTCAGAGACAAGGCGTGTGGAAAAATCATCTGATTTTGGGGAATTGGTATCTAAGCCTGGTCTTTAGGGTTTTGACTTAAAAATATTGAAGATGATTCCATGGAAGCAAACTATATCTCAGTCGTGTTTTATATACACAAGTCGGTTAATTGTTGCGCAAATTTACTGAAATAATTCCAAACGTTACTGTCCTTGTGATGATGCATACTCAAACATTGTCGTGCAGCTTAACAAAGAGCTCAAAAGAGCGAAAAATGAGGTTGTGTGGAGTAGAAAATTTCAAATTAACAGACAGATTCCATGATGCCGTTCGTCTGTTCAGTAATAGATCACAAATGACATCAACATGTGGTAAGAAAACAAAGTGGCACACGAGGTAATAGCCCAATGTGTAACTGATGTTTTTATCTCATTTTGACGTTTTCTGTGATCCGTTCCTGATCAAACAGACGCACGGCAACATGGAATCTACTTGTATTATATAATAAAGAAACAGAAAAGGAATGTTAATGGCGTCAGCTATGCGTCTATTCTCTAATAGATCATATATAAATGCAAGAATAATTAGACTTGTCATAAAACTCACAATACGTAGATTTTATTAATGGCGTATTATTTTGTGGATTTAAACTAACGAGGCGCGAAATTGACTTTAATAACACTTCCAGTCCCGTTTGCATTTCTGTTCAAATTTGAAAGCACCCTCTCCAACGGTGAAACTCTCCTGAGTTGGACTGGCGAAGGTGACACACCTTGATGGTCTCTTCCATTACCAATATGCCACTGAATTTGATGTAGTTCGTTAACAGTCAGACCTGAAATAAAAGTATACACAGATGCTGATAATATCATCGACTATAGGCCCTTTCAAGCGTGGGGTCAGGTGACAAACATTTTGACCATTTTTTTCGTTTTATCGGTTATAACTTAAAAAATGCCAGAAATACGACAGTTTATATTTTCGAAAAATTTAGAGGATATCTATGTAAAATGTGTTTTGCTCTCAAGCATGCTACTTTAACTGAAAGAAACAAGTATATATCAACTAAACATAACAAACATGCAACGCTTCGGTGAGAGTTTTTTTCCTTTTTGTTTTTTCGTGTAGTTTTCCTGGAAATTAATCACTGACTCTGTGGGTAGCTCAACAAGACCTTTTTAGCTTGAGCTTTTTGTTTTCTCGTTATGTAAATGTAAAAACTATGTAAATCTTCTTTATAGTGGCCATGCACTTAGCTATACAAGCACTAAGCTTAGCTAGTTTACAGGCATGTCACTGAAACAAAGAAAACAAATATTTCAAATGAACGTAATATAGTTAAAAATCCCAACTGGCAGGAGGCAGACCAAAGCGTGACCGAGGATTTGAACCAGGGACTCCCGAGAAACATATCCCTCTAGTGGCCGGGTGGAGGCCTTGAACCCGGGACCTCCGGATTATAACAACAGCGCCCTAAACCACTCGGCCACGCTGCCTCCATTATATTCTTATATCACGTGCTATTCTTAAGAGAATTTTTCTTTGATCCAATTAAAAACTTCATTCATATACACCCAACTATTTGAAAATCTGAAAGCAGGAATTCTCAAGTATCATCACTTGGTCTGATGAAAAATGGAGTAACAAACTATCCAAGCTAAAAAAAGGTTTGTTGAAGCTAAGGAACATGAAGGATGAATCAGAGATCTAAAATGATTAAATTAAATAAAGGCTAAAGAAAGATAATAATTTTTTTTTTTTTTTTTTTATCATAAATAAAACTTTCGCCGATTATTTCATAAGTCGCAAACTTTCTCTGTTTAATAGAAATTACACCTTTCTGAGGCTTAGTTTAAAGTGCTGGAAACCCTTTAGCCAACGTTATTTTAATCAAGATATGTTTACAATTAGCTTGATTAAAAATAAATTTAGTGATTAAAACTTAAAATTCTCTTTAGTTTAGCTGTGTGGAAACATTTTAATGCAAGTTCTGAGGGGTGAAAATGTGATTATTCGAATATATTTGCTACATGTTTTTTTATTCCATTCATTAACTTTAGTGTCTGAGTCGTAAGATGTATGTGATGCCCCTTAAAATCTACCTCTCGCCAAAGCAGTTACCATATAGCCTCATGTACAGCTTCCACATCAGGGAGATTAAGCCCTAAGCGAAAACAAACGCGTTCTAACTGAAGCAACCCGTTGGCTGGGTACACCAGTGTTGCGCCTCCTTCTTACATTGTTCTCACCAAGCTCTTTGTCGAAAATATGCCATAGTTGTTCTGGATTTGTTTTACGAAACGTTTCGCTGGAATCTATGCTCCAGAGAACCATTTCGCACAGCAAATCCAGATTAATAACATTGTGTGGCGAGAAATTTTTCAGTCGGAATGATTGAGGCTATCGATTTACAAGACAGAGATCACAACTCTAAGAGTAAATAGGACTTTGTTAATTTCAATTTTCTGTCCCTTAGAAACTACACTTATTCCATCATCTTTATGTCTTAGGCACATTTTGTGCGTAACCTCAAATACTTTGTTATAATTTCAGCTCCATTCTTAACAGGAATTGCGGCATATCTACTGATATAGTGCCTCTTTAAATTGGTGTAGTCCAGTTGTCTTTTTATTACCTTTGTTAACTTTGCCTTGAAAATTGTTTCTTTAGTAGTTGGTAATTTAATTCATCAAATAACCTTTCGGCGATATCAGCTCTTTCCGCCGTTTTGTTAGCATAACCTTAAAGGTGTACAAAAAGTTTCTAGTATTACGGGATTCCACGATTACAGCAATGTCACTGGGCACATAGGTAAGAAAACTACTTTCTTTTGTTCTTGAATTTTTTCTTGTTTTAGACTTGAAGGTTATAACTGCAGTGAGGAAAGAAGTTATAATTTGTGCCATGTTTCATTTGTTGATGGAAATTTAAGGATGGCAACATTTTTCCTCCTACAATATTCGTTCATCAGTTCATAGCACTCCGAAAAAAGTTTTCAATCAAGGAATTGTGTATGAGTAAACTGAAGAAACGTTAATTCTTTCCATTGGGATAGAATCGAAATCACTTGTTGATTTGGTTACCGAATAATCCGTCAGCATTCGTCAGTGCGAGAATTTCTGTAGCATGCTCCACGTTAAAAGTTTGTCTGTGTCACTTAAAATTTGTAACAATTTCATTGTACGTTTCCTAGCGATTTTCTTTCTAAAAATCTTATCCACGAAAGTAAATGACTCAATGATCCAAAAGATTTCGATTAGTGCACAAGAAGGAACGGAACTGAAAAATTTGATTGTTCCTTGTGATAGTCTTTGGGTAAGAATCTAACATTAATATTAGCATTAGGTTTAAGGAGAAAGGAAGCACTAAAATCTAAAACTATATATCATTATAGTAGGCAACATTTTCTGCTAACTATTCAGTAACTAGTATAGATACCAAGTGTAATACTGCGAAGTGATTGCACATACAACCAAAGCAGCTGAACAGATAATTCTTAGCACGAAAATTCAGCTTAAAGCCTAATTTTGAAGCGCTTAAAAGTTACTTCTTATGACGACAAGAAG